CTTCAATAAACTCTAACATTCCCTCCTGTTTTTCATAATTACTAGCTGGTTACAGTGTCTTTATAGTCATTAGCGTCAGACCCAGCAGGGTCACTACACACAACACCTTTCCCAACATAGTCTAGTTGTGATAGTGGTTCTGTTGTTTTCTTCACCGGGGTTGAGACCAGTATTTCCTAATGAAACACCGCCCTTTGTAGCCGGACTTCCACCACTTATCCGTCGTTAAGTTGGAGAGGTATTATCTTTTTGCAGTGGCTCTGATGTATCCACGTAGTTCTTTCGGCGATTTTTAGTGCAGTCGGTGTTGTCAGCAGTACCGTGTAGGGGCCGTACCACCGTGGACAGTGCCAATGCTTCCTCTTAATCACCTTCACGAGGACCTGGTCACCAGTCTGCACTCGGGTATCCTGTAAGGGAGTAGAAATGTCTGGCAGGTTATTTGTTCGAGCTATCTCATTGCTTCTGAAGAGTCTGCTCATCCATTCAGCTAATGTAGTCTCTGCCTCAGCATCATCCTCCTCCCTCACCTCGTCTGTGATTGGTAGTCTGAATTGCCTTCCTGTTATGATCTCAAAGGGAGACAACCCTTTTGCCGTGGGCGTGATTCTCATGCATGTTTCTACTTTCCTCTCTGTGGTCGCTCATTGCCTTGAGCATTGTCTGCAACATACTACACAGGCTCTACAAAAGTTTTTAGAAAATGTAATATAGTTGTATGTATGGAAGTGTTCATTTATTATTGTCACCATCCCCTCCTGTTGAGACATGGCACGGCCCATGACTCAAATGAGCTGCTGTTTAATAGAGACTAACAGGGAGTACTATCTTGTTGTTTATTCTGAATACTTCAGAAAGGTCAATGTGATGTGTGTGGACGTCCTCTTCTTCCTTTTCTACGTCTAGTCAGTTGTCATAACTATGTAGGTTATGTGAAGGGGGGGGGGGCCATGTCTTTCGTCTTTGTACTGTCCCTTTTGTCCCCCTTCTTTGTTCTGTGGTCTCTGTTCCTCACAGTCCCTCGCCATGTGCCCCTCCTTTCCGCACCTGTAGCAGATACATTTGCCTTCTGCGTTTCTGCCTCCTCCTCTGCCTCTGCCTGTTCCTCTATCATTCCCTCGTCCTCTGTTAAACCCGCCTCTCCCCTGTCCTGGTCCCACAAAGAAAATCTGATTTTCTTCCCCTTCTTCTCCTATGAAGAAAGCTGATGCTGATGCTTTCTTATGTCTTTTTTCTTTGATCTGGAATACCTCTTTCTCTTGCTTCCTTTTTATTCTTTGTTCCTGCGCTTTGTGTTCTTCCACTATCGCTCTCTCTTTCTCGCGGCGTACAGCGTCAACTGACCCTGAACGCCCTGTCTCCTCGTCTGCTTTCACTGAAACAGCCGCTGCTATCATACCTTCTTCTGCTCCACCTGTCCTTTTATGGGCTTGTTCAGCCCATAAAGCTGCAACTCGTAGTTGAGCTTCTAACTTCTTTCTTTTCTTGCCTTGTGTTGTTCCAGCTGTTGCTGCTCTCAATTTGTCGCTTAATTCTCTTACTGCTGTTTTCTCCAACTTTCCTCGGAAGCCGTACAGTTTATACCATTTGCTACAATAACTGGTGCTGCCATGACTATATATTTCCATATATCTCATGTCCCCTGTAGCGGCAGGCTTACTCCCATTGGACCCCATGATTCTAGCTTGGTGTTCCTACTGTACAACGTGCCGGTCAGAACCTAATTCCTAATTCACCACTAGTGTACTTCAACAGACCACAGAGTTTATGTTATCACCGTTAGGTTTCCACTCTGTGCGCTGATTCCACTGGTGACACTTTTACACACTGCTTTCACTCAATCACTCATAAGTGTACCCAAAGGCACGTCGATCCTCCTCCTAGGCGGAGTAGCCTTTCTCTATCAACGTTTTATCAACCTCCTTAATGGCGGAGTAGCCTTTCTCTATCAACGTTTTATCAACCTCCTTAATGGCGGAGTAGCCTTTCTCTATCAACGTTTTATCAACCTCCTTAATGGCGGAGTAGCCTTTCTCTATCAACGTTTTATCAACCTCCTTAATGGCGGAGTAGCCTTTCTCTATCAACGTTTTATCAACCTCCTTAATGGCGGAGTAGCCTTTCTCTATCAACGTTTTATCAACCTCCTTAATGGCGGAGTAGCCTTTCTCTATCAACGTTTTATCAACCTCCTTAAATGGCGGAGTAACCATGTATATCAACTTTTTATCTTACCCGTTATCTGTGGTCACTGGTCCGGTTGGATTCCGTCAATCGTGCCTAGGATGAGGGAGGTTGGACATATAAGCACCGGCCCGGCCACGAATTCTGCGTCCCGGGTCTTTCTCGGGGTCGGCTGATGATCCCGGCTGTCGACAGACTTGCGGCGTGTCTTTTCCCTCCTCCTTCCCGTCACGATGTATTGGATTCCGGCTCGAAGGACCAATTAATGTGAGGTATCTATATTACTTTGTAAGGGTAAACCCCAGCTCGGTTCAATAACCAGAACCCAGTGAACAAAGATAACAGTACTCATGTTTCAAGTTTACTTGCTGCAAGGAGAGTCAGCGAGTGACATGCCATGTCAACTCCTTAACCAACTCCCAGCTAGGAGAATCGGCGAGTGACATATGCCATGTCCACTCCTTAACCAACTCTCAGCTAGGAGAACCAACTCTCACTCGCCTTCTCTCAGTGCAGTCTTTTTATTTCAACAAACAGTAACATGAGACAATCATGTGGTGTTGACCAACGCCTTATTTGTTAGTGTGTGAATCTTGTGACTGTGAATCTGTGTGTGTGTGTATGTGTGCCATTTGACAGAGAACAGACTGTTCTCTGTTGCTACATAACACATTTTATGAGAACACATTTTATGAGAATACTAGGGGTGTAACGGTACACGTACCCGTACCGAAATTATTCGGTACGGGCCCTTCGGTTCGGTACAGGTGTGTACCGAAGTGTACCGAACGAATATAACGTTAAACGTAAAAAATTGAGAACGTGAACAACTTTTTGGAAGTAATCTCAGGTGCTGCGTCGCAGCATTCAGAGTAATTTGGTCACATTGGGTTCAACGCGTCATAGAGCGAGCAAGTCATTTCATTGGATGAGAGGCATACTATGAGAGCTGGTCAGAGGGATGCGTTCAAATGTAGTCAGTAATTTGAGGAACTGTCGAAAATTAATGGCGAACGCAGATAAAGTTGAGCTCGAAAATCCTCCAGCATCATTGAAGTCTCCGGTTTGGGAACATTTTGGTTTCGCAGTTACGTACAAGGATGAAGGACAAAGACAGGTGGACCGAACCAAAGCTGTTTGTCGGCATTGTTCAACTAACATTGGTTACGCGGCTGGCAATACATCAAACTTGCACACTCTTGAAAAGGCATCACCCGAACGTGAATATCACCGGTACCAAAAGAAAAAAGACTGAAGTGCAAACCCAACTCCCGCTAGCATTTAAGCCTCCACCACTCGCAGAGAGTTCAGACCGAGCCAAAGCTATTACAAACGCCAAGTATCCTTATGTTGCCATGTTAGCAAAGCGCTACCTGGCTGTATCTGCTACCTCTGTCCCTAGCGAGAGGGTGTTCTCCACAGCAGGAGACATTGTTAGTGCCAGCAGATCTGCCCTTTCGGCAAGCAATGTGGACAAGTTAATTTTTCTTTAAAAAAACATGAAAATACAATGACAAGCAAGTCATAATGTCAAACTGGCTGCTTAGGTACTAGTACAGTACAGTTCAAATACAGATTATTTCAGTTCATCGAAAAGCTGCACTTAATGTTTATTTTATTATATTTTGTATTTATTTGAGTGAATATTCACAGTTTAATAATAATTAAAAACCCAAAACTAATAGTTTATGTTTTGTGAGTACTAGTACAGTAAAGTTCAAATACAGATTATTTCAGTTAATCGAAATGCTGCACCTTAATGTTTATTTTATTATATTTTGTATTTATTTGAGTGAATACATTATTCACAGTTTAATAATAATAAAAAATATATATATATATATGTTTTGTTCTGTGAAAAAAAATTCTGCTGTACCGAAAACGTACCGAACCGAACCGTGACCAAAAAACCGAGGTACGTACCGAACCGAAATGTTTGTGAACCGTTACACCCCTAGAGAATACATTAATGAAAACACATTAATGAAAATAGTATATACATTATGAAAACACTTTTATCCTTCAATAAACTCTTAACAGTTACCAAAAGATTCTATGTACTGTCAAGAGGAAGATGAGGCACACGAGACCCAACAATGCAGACGAGCTGAAGGCCGCGAGTGAAGCAACCTGGGCTTCCATCACACCTCAGCAGTGCCACAGACTGATAGTCTCCATGCCACACCGCATTGATGCAGTTATTCATGCTAAAGGAGGTCCAACCAAGTACTGACAGCAGGAACATTAACATACTTTTCAGAAGGACAGCGTTTCTATATTAGAACATCTATTTTGTATTCGTCTTATGTTTTATTAAAATGTTGAGATGCTGAATTTTGGCTTTAATTTAATCATCAAGATTAAAACAAATACACGCTGGAAATAATTCACTTTGTGTGTGATGAATCTATGTGATGTATAAGTTTCAACTTTATAAATTGAATTACCGATATTTTCCATGATATTACATTTATTGAGTCCAAGTACAGGTTTAGCGAGGCGGAGAGAGATGCTAAACAACTACTCTGAGAAACTCCAACACCAGTTCTCAGCTAACGACTCTGCAGACAGGTCACAAACTATAAGGCTAAGGCCTCACACTCCGTGAACGGCAGACGCCTTGCTAACTGGCAGTGAAACTATGTTTTAGATCAGCTAGAGTACTAACTCACCTGAAACTCTCCAGGGCATCTGCAAAAGCATTTAAAATAATTAATGGATAAGGGCTGCAAAGTTAAAGAAGTGTTAATCGTGGTTAGATTTTAAATTCTAATACTCTACAGCTTCTCTGAATATGTGTTTCCTCTTTCCTGCAGACGTCCAGCAGCTGGTGGTGGTTAAAGAAGAGGTTCCCCCTGAGCAGCAGGAGTGGAGCTCCAGTCTGGACCAGGAGGACCCAGAGCCCCCCCCACACATCAAAGAGGAACAGGAGGAACTCTGGAGCAGTCAGGAGGGAGAGCAGCTTCAAGGGCTGGTGGAGGCTGATATCACCAAGTCCACATTCACTCCTGTCCCTGTGAAGAGTGAAGATGATGAAGAGAAACCTCAGTCCTCTCAGCTTCATCAAAGACAAACTGAACACATGGAAACAGAAGCTGATGGAGAGGACTGTGGAGGACCAGAACCAGCCAGGAACTCAGATCCAGAGAGACATTTACAACCAGAGACTGAGGACAACCCTGGAAGCTCTTCTGAACCTGATACTGGAGATTCGAAGGAGCCCAGAGAACCAGGTTCAAACTCTCAGAAAAATAAACAAGACAATGTCAGTGATTCAAGACGTAGTACAGGAGAGAAACCATTCAGCTGCTCAGTCTGTGAGAAGTCTTTTAAACAGAGGGGACATTTAAAGGAACATATGAAAATCCATACAGGAGAGAAACCATTCAGCTGCTCAGTCTGTAAGAAATCATTTCCAAGGAGAACAAATTTCCATAGACATTTGAGAACACACACAGGAGAGAAACCATTCAGCTGCGCAGTCTGTGAGAAAGCTTTTGCCCTGAAAGAACCTTTACAACGACACATGAGAATCCACACAGGAGAGAAACCATTCAGCTGCGCAGTCTGTGAGAAAGCTTTTGCTATGAAAGAACCTTTACAACGACACATGAGAATCCACACAGGAGAGAAACCATTCGGCTGTTCAGTCTGTGAGAAATCTTTTAAACGGAGAGAAAGTTTAAAGGAACATATGCAAATCCATACAGGAGAGAAACCATTCAGCTGCTCAATCTGTAATAAATCCTTTCCAACGAGAGCACATTTCCATCGACACTTGAGAATCCACACAGGAGAGAAACCATTCAGCTGTACAGTCTGTGAGAAAGCTTTTGCCCTGAATGCAACTTTACAACGACACATGACACACCACACAGGAGAGAAACCATTCAGCTGCAGTGTCTGTGAAAAAAGATTTACACAGAGCTATCAGGTCAAAATCCATAAGTGTGTTGGTCGTCAGTCCTCACAGCTTCATCAAACTCAAACTGAAGAGAACAGAGAGGCAGAGCCTCTAGCCAGCAGCTCAGCTGAACACATGGAAACAGAAGCTGATGGAGAGGACTGTGGAGGACCAGAACCAGCCAGGAACTCAGATCCAGAGAGACATTTACAACCAGAGACTGAGGACAACCCTGGAGGCTCTTCTGAACCTGAGACTGAAGACAGTGATTATTGTTAGGTTTAAACTATTTGGGTAAGTCCCAGTAAGTCGTATATAATGCGATACCTTGACGTTTTGTGATGATAAATGTTTTGGTCCAAGTAAAGAGAGGACTGTGGAGGACCAGAACTGTCAACATTTATAACCAGAGAGCGAGGAGGTTTCCATATTGGGATATATAATTAAAACAAAAGTTAATATAATCAAATATAATTTTGTAGAATCCACAATGTAAAATGCATGATGTCACTCTATACTTATATACTAAATGTACACGGTTTGTTAAACTGACATGAAAGAGTTTAAGTTCTGATATAGTTTATCACTAAAGGTGTCACTATTCAGCAGAGGGAAGACACCCTTACTCTCACAGCAGGAGGCCCCTGACTCAATGGGATATTACTGTAAGCTTTAGTTTAGTTTTGAGGCAAGTCTGGACATGTCCAGTCTCACACCTGGAAGCAATGACTCTTCTCCACATACATGGGTCTGTTGGTGTGTATTCACTTCTGCTTCTGTTGGTATGATATAAAAGCAGCAGCTGAGAGAGGAAAAAAAGTCTTAGGGTTCTTAACTTGGAATCTCTCCCTAGATTTTATTTACTTGCTGTCATCATGAAGACATTTCTCTGGAGATGTGCAGGGGGTTTTAACAGAAAGGAAAACATGTTAACTGGTAAATTAATCATTAATACCAGAGAGTAAGACATTGTATAACTGTCACATTGTAACCAGATAAATTAAAAAAAAAACGGTGTTAGAGTGTGGACCATTTCTTCAAATAAAACCATCCCACCCATTTGGACTGGGTTAACTTAAATTCATTCTGCGCTGTCCTCTTCTGATTTAGGGTAAGATTGCACGACTGCCACACTCACACTTAGGTAGACCTCATAACAGATACTAGAATCCTACGGGATCGCTGCAGTAAGATGTTGGAGGTCTTCTACCAGTCTGTTGTTGGAGATCTTCTACCAGTCTGTTGTTGGAGATCATCTACCAGTCTGATGTTGGAGATCTTCTACCAGTCTGTTGTTGGAGATCTTCTACCAGTCTGTTGTTGGAGATCTTCTACCAGTGTGTTGTTTGAGATCTTCTACCAGTGTGTTGTTGCCAGTGCACTCTTCTTTGATGTGACGTCTCTTTGGACAACCGGACTTAAACTCACAATTTAAAATATATATAATTTTAATGTGTATCTTAATTGTCACAATATATCGCATTAACTCGTAACAACAACATAATAATCATGCAACGAAAGGCCAGCAACAAAAATAAATTAAAACTGCGGTCACAGATGTGCACGTGGCCTTCGAGTCCGTGCGCCTGTCGTCCCGGCATCAAGCAGACCCGCGCGAGTCTTCCGAAATGAGCCGTTTGTCATTTCTATGATTTTCGCGTCCCAGGTCTTCCGGCAGCGACCCGGAAACGGATGTCGGCGCGCCGTCTCGAAGGAAAACAAATTTCTCTCATGGGTCGTCGAGGATCGATTATCGAGGAGGCTGTCTGGAGGAGCCGTAACCGAGGATACACTGATTTAGAGGAGAGAGGAGCCTCTGGAGGAGCTATAACCGAGGGTACACTGATGTATCCTCCAGAGTCGATTTCAGGCAACAGTGATGTTTAAAAGAGGCGTGACGCATGGCTGGACTTAACAACTAGTTGCTGAACGAAGCGCAGCTCTGCAAACTGTTGCCGTTGTGATTATACGTTATGTAAGATGATCAAATGTGCATCAGACTTTCTGCCCTTTACCGTTTGTTTACTCACTTATCACATCTCCCCTGGATGTTAGGCTACTTTTTTTTTTAATACAACTGCTTTCATTCAGACGCGATGTTTACGGTGAGAACAGCAATAATAAGAAGGTTATCACCAAACATTTTAAAAATGTTTTTAGAGACCGCTATCCTACCTTTCAGAAGAACGTTCTGGAAACCAAAATAAAACTTCCCACTGAAAACATTCCTAGAACAATGAATGTAACATTCTCAGAATGTTTTTAGAGACAAAAATGTCTAGCTGGGTCACGGGTGCCTTAATTTACTTTGTTGGGATCCCTCTCACCCCTCGTCACCTCCATCCACTGGTAAGCCTCAGCATCCCTGAATTAAGATTCCCCCCTTTATTTCCAGTGTGTATGTTGTTCTTACTGTGTTTTTAATGATATTTTAATACATGGAATAAAACATTTGATGAATTGGAGCCACGTCTCCTTCCCCTCAGTATTACAAACGAGTGCCTTGTTGGTACCTTGAGTAATTATTTCCTTGAGTGCAATTCCCAAGGTAGCGTTGTCTGGCTTTTTGGTTAAATAGGATTTCAAACAAACACTCCCACGTGCCGCCACAAAATCTCACATCAACTACCTTTCATAGTAAGCAGAGAAAAACAAGAGAGACAGACATAATTCAAGTTTAACAGCTTGAGCTTTATTTCAGCATGAATTGTATCATATTATATGATTCAACACAGGGAAACACTCCTTGTGCTTTACTCTGCTGCTTCTTTTCCCTGTAAAAAAAACAGATACATGGTTTTTGTGAGTTTTGAATAAACCACAAAGAGGATTATAAACAGTTAATTTCATAGTAACTAAAGCTTTGTGAAGTGAATGCAAAGATTCTGCTTATTTTGCCCTAAACCGACATATAGTTACCTTGCCAGAGTCACGGCCCTTTGCTCTCAGTTTGTTGACCTGGGACTCTGCAATGTCAGCACGCTCCTCAGCCTCCTCCAGCTCATTCTGGACCTTCCTGCACTTGGACAGATGGACATTGGCCTGCTCCTCCTTAAATAAAAGAAGTATAAACATGTTTCAGTGTTTAAAATCATCTTTTGTGAATGAAATGAGACATGGAACCAAGTTCCCAATGTGTGGAATATATATGTGTCCTTACCGCCTCCTCAGCCTGCCTCTTGTAGGCCTTCACCTTCAGCTGCAATTTGTCAACCAGATCCTGCAGCCTGGCAACATTTTTCTTGTCCTCCTCAGTCTGAGATAGAACATTTAGATTTGCACGTTTTAATATTTTAAAATGTTAGTTTGTAGGATAATATTGGTACTGTACATGTTAACTATGAAAGTGACTTTACCTGATAGGTGAGCTCCTTAACTCTCCTCTCATATTTGCGAACACCTTTAACAGCCTCTACTGCACGTCTCTGTTCAGCCTCAACCTCTCCCTCCAGCTCACGCACCTTTTGAATAACATGAAAACATTAAGTATCCAGCCTTTTTCAAAGTCTTTCTTCAGATATGTACATTTTTGTGTGATTCTTTTACCCTAGACTCAAGTTTCTGGAGCTGCTTCTTGCCACCCTTCATGGCCAGGTTCTCAGCCTCATCCAGACGATGCTGCAGGTCCTTAACAGCAACCTCCAGGTTCTTCTTCATCCTCTCCAGATGAGCACTAGTATCTTGCTCCTTCTTCAGCTCCTCAGCCATCATAGCAGCCTGGAGGAGTCAGCAAAACATGTTCATTAGAAATATCTAGAACAAAAACATTGCTGTTAAAGTAAGAACACATGACATTGAAACCTACATCAGTGATGGCCTTCTTGGCCTTCTCCTCTGCATTCCTTGCTTCCTGAACAATGTCATCCACTTCACCCTGGATCTGGACCAGGTCTGTCTCAAGCTTCTTCTTGGTGTTCACAAGGCTTGTGTTCTAAAAGGTTCAAAGATGTAGCCTCCTAAGTCAACAGCTGTCTAATATTCACAATATGTACGATCTCATTAGATTCTTGAATGATTGAAAACATGATTGTGTTTGTTCACCTGAGAGTGCAGGAGTCCAACACGCTCACTGGCATCAACCAGCTCTTGCTCAGCAATTTTGCGACTTCTCTCTGTCTGTTCCAGAGCAGCTCTAAGTTCCTCAATTTCAGCCACCATAAGACCGTTTCTACGATCCACCATAGCAGCCTGCTCCTTGAAGTCCTCCTGGGCTCTGACAGCATCATCAAGGTGCAGTTGAGCATCCTAGTGATAAAACCATCAGAAATATATCCATGAATGCCAAAAGTAGCCTTATGTAACACTTGTGTTTTATACAATACCTTCAGCTGTGCCTGCACATTCCTGAGCTGCTTCTGGGACTCAGCAGCCTGGCGGTTGGCATGGCTGAGCTGAATCTCCATCTCATTCAGATCTCCCTCCATCTTCTTCTTGATTCTCAGGGCATCGTTCCTGCTCCTGACCTCAGAATCCAGAGTGCTCTGCATGGAGTCAGTCACTCTCTGGCTGTTCCTCTTGATCTGTTCCATCTCTTCATCTTTCTCTGCCAGCTTCCTGTCCACCTCACCCTTAATCTGGGTGAGCTCCAGCTGAACACGAAGGATCTTAGACTCTTCATGTTCCAGAGTTCCCTAATGAAATCAAACAATGAAACACTCATCTTTGCCTTCAAACACTGATACATTAGTCAATGAATTTTAATGTTATAAACTCCCAGAAAAAAACAATACCTCAGCCTCTTCAAGAGCTGTCTGGATCTCAGTCTTCTCTGTCTCCACCTGCTTCTTGGACTTCTCCAGCTCATGGATGTTCTTGCCAGTCTCACCAATCTGTTCAGTCAGATCTGAGATCTCCTCTGCAGAAAGATACATGTGTTTTATCATATTGTTGAACCTTACAACAGATAGAGCCAGAAATCTAGGTGTAGTCATGGACTCTGACCTGAGTTTCAACAATCACATTAAAACAGTTACTAAATCAGCCTACTATCACCTAAAGAACATATCTAGGATTAAAAGACTAATGTCACAGCAGGATTTGGAAAAACTTGTCCATGCTTTTATCTTCAGTAGACTCGACTACTGCAATGGTGTCTTCACAGGTCTCACTAAAACATCTATTAGGAAGCTGCAGCTGATTCAGAACGCCGCTGCTCGAGTCCTCACTAACACTAAGAAAGTGGATCACTCCTGTTCTGAAGTCTTTACACTGGCTTCCTGTGTGTCAAAGAATAGATTTCTAAATACTGCTGCTGGTTTATAAAGCACTGAATGGTTTAGGCCCAAAATACATGTCTGACCTCCTGCTAAATTATGAACCATCCAGATCTCTCAGGTCTTCAGGGACTGGTCAGCTTTCTGTCCCCAGAGTCAGAACTAAACATGGAGAAGCAGCGTTCAGTTATTATGCTCCAAATATCTGGAACAAACTCCCAGAAACCTGCAGGTCCGCTGCAACTCTGACTACTTTCAAATCCAGCAAGAAGACTTTTCTTTTTGCCGCTGCTTTTAATTGAAACTGAGCCGTTGTTCATCAGTAAAGTGGAACTTCTGTGTGAACTATTCACATCTTAAACTGCACTGTAACTTTTTATTCATGTATTTTTTCTTTTAATGTTTCTTTTATTATCTTTTCTTTTTAATGACTGTTTTTAAATGCCTTTGTCTGAATGTCTTTCATTTTTGTAAAGCACCTTGAATTGCCTTGTGTTGAAAGGTGCTATATAAATAAACTTGCCTTGCCTAAATTGTACATTATGTAGAACTCACGTTGCAGATTCTTGTTTTCACGCTTCATGGTCTCCAGATGATCAAGAGCCTCCTCATAAGAGTTCTTCATCTTGAACAGCTCAGTGCTGAGAGAACGAGCCTCCTTCTGTGCTCCCTCAAGCTCTGCCTGACCCTCCTCGTGCTTCTGCTTCCACTCTGCCAACACCTGAATAATACAATTCATACAGTTCATTTGGTTATGTTCACGTAAGAGGGCGAAATAAATATTCATGTCATTGTTTGTGTGGTTTGGCCATAAAGTAAGTTGTGTTACCTTGTCAAAGTTCCTCTGCTTTTTGTCCAGGTTGGCAGCAAGGCCATTGGCCCTCTCCACATCAATCATGAGGTCCTCCACCTCACTCTGGAGCCTCTGTTTGGTTTTCTCAAGAGAAGCACTCTTGGAATTCACTGCCTCAATCTGTTCCTCAGCCTCCTGAAGGCGCTGGGCAAGCTTTTTCCTGTTTGGAAATTGAGGTATTTGTGGCTCAGTTAAACTCGTAAAGTTACAAGTTATTTTCTAATTATATTTGCATATATGAAAGTAAGAAGCTATACACATTTTAAAATACTAATATCATTACCAGCAATTCAGGAATCAGTAGAGTTGCTGCTAGAATGCTACACTTCTGGCCATTTAACAGTTTGAATGTCACTCACTTGGATTCCTCAAGCTCCTCAGTGCGCTGGATAGCATCAGTTTCATACTTGGATCTCCACTGAGCCACCTCGCTGTTGGCCTTGGACATTCCACGCTGCAGCTCAGCCTTGGCCTCCTGCTCCTCTTCAAACTGCTCCCTCAGCAGATCACAGTCATGGCGGGTTGATTGCAGGCCATGGGCAAGAGCATTCTTGGCCTGTTGTAAGAAATATTATTAACCTTTACACCATTTCTAAATCACAAACAAATGATACAAATACACACTATCTTAATGGTTTCTTACCTTAACCTCCTCCTCAATTTGTCTCTTCAATTCATCAATCTGCTGTGTGGAGGCCTGCTTGCCTCTGGTCAACTGAGAGACAAGAGCTTCCTTCTCTTCAACTTGACGGCTGAACTCACCTTGTGTGAACAATATTATAATACGTTAGTTTGTGCAACGTTTCTCAATCATACACTCCAAAGACCGTTCACCAAAAACATGTAGATACCATTTTCTGTCAGGAGACGTGCTTTCTGTGAACTTGTGTCATTGATCTGGCGGACGTTTTCATCATTCTTGGTCTTCAGTTCGCTAAGTTGGTCCTCAAGAGTGCGGCACATCTTTTCAAGATTTCCCTAATGAGGAAGAAATAAACAAGATCAATGATCAGATTTTATTCACAAAATAATTTACGTGATGTACTATATTCATATTGGTAACATCATATACTAATACAAAAGCATGTAATGCTAGTGTACCTTTGCCTTAGCAACATTCTCCATGTTGCTGGAGAGGTCATCAATCTCCATCTTGTATTCACTCTTTTCCTTCTCAAGCTTCTGCTTGACACGCTGGAGGTTGTCGATCTGCTCTCCCAGCTCAGCAACACTGTCAGCCTGCTTCTTGCGAAGGGCAGCAGCAGTTGCTTCGTGCTGCAGAGTGGACTCCTCAAGGTCACGACGGAGCTTCTGGAACTCAGCCTCACGCTTCTTGTTCATCTCAATCTGAGCAGCGGTGGCACCTCCAGCCTCCTCCAGCCTCTCACTGATCTCCTCAAGTTCCCTGGAGAGGTCAGCTCTCTGCTTCTCAACCTTGGCCCGAGCTGCACGCTCAGCCTCAATCTCCTCTTCCAGTTCCTCAATACGAGCCTGTTGAATAGATGTTTTCTCTTTTAGCAATCTTTCACTTTATTACACATAATAGCAAATGTATGCAGTATTGTTAAGTGTAACACAATATCTCACCTGGAGCTCCTTGATCTTCTTCTGGAGCTGAGCACCCAGAGACTGCTCATCTTCAATCTTGCTAAGGAGCTGACTGCATTCAAAGTCCTTCCTGTGAAATTGATAAAGTGCATTGAGTTCATGCAATTGAACACTTCTTTAAAAAAATGTATGTTGTGCAAACAGAAAAACTAAGTTACTTTTTGATTTTCTCATCAGACTGCTGCTTGTCATTCTCAAGATCCATGATGGATTCCTGGGCCAGTTTGAGATCTCCCTCAAGCTTTCTCTTGGTTCTCTCAAGGTCCATACGCAGCTTCTTCTCTTGCTCCAGAGAACCCTCAAGCTAAACAAAGGTATACATTTTAAATGATCATGTTCAAGAATAATCTTGCTTTTCCAAATCAAATGACTGTAAACCTACATCATCCACTTGCTGCTCAAGCTTGGTCTTGGCCTTAGTCAGAGTGTTGACTTTGTCTTCCTCTGCCTGCAGGTCATCAAGAGTCTGCTGATGAGCCTCCTGAAGGGCTTTCTTTTCCTTGGTCAGCTTAGCAATGCTCTCATCCTGAGAGGCCATCTCCTCGGTCAGGTTCTTCACCTAAGTGTGCAAGAAATGGTCAATACGAAGAACACTATCATTTCACTTAATGCACAGATTATCCAAACCTTGTTCTCAGTGGCATGTTTCTCCTTCTCCACTTTGGCCAAGGTAAGCTCCAGGTCATCAATATCCTTCTTGAGCTCAGAGCATTCATCCTCCAGCTTTCTCTTCTTGGCAGTGAGCTCAGCATTCATTTCTTCTTCATCCTCCAGTCTCTCAGTTGTCTCTTTGAGTTTGGCCTCCATCTGAATCTTACTCTTGATAAGTCCCTCACATCTTTCCTCAGCATCAGACAGATTTTCTCCTTCCTAGACCATTTGTATGAAAACAGACGTCAGCGCTTTCATATTCACGAACATGAAAAATCGTATTTGTCTGTTGATGTTTACTTACAGATGAGACTTGCAGTGTCAGATCATTCTTCTCCTGCAGAAGGGAAACCATCTTCTGCTCCAGTTCCTTCTTCTTGGCCAGGGCAGTAGCCAGGTCACTTTTCATTTTTTCATAGTTCTCCTTCATATTTGCCAGCTCCTTCTCAGTTTCAGCACTCTGCAGCAGAGGCTTAATCTTGTAGTAGACCTTCATCCATGGCCAGTGTTTCACATTCATGAAGGAGCGCACGTTGTACTGGATGGTATAAATGGCATCCCTGTGGAAAGTAAATTGCTGTTAGGAACTAAATATATACTTTATTATTAATGTCATGACTTTTCACTCAAACTTGCTGTTTTCAACATGCCTCCTTGCTGCCATCTCCACAAATGACCTTCTCATGAGGAAACCACGGCATATAGCCTGAGTCATGGTGACCAGAGATGCCAGTTTTTCATCTCTCATCTCCTCAAGGGTACCAAGCAGACCAGCCTTGAAGAACACCTGAACACAGAGAGAACATAAATGTATTCTATTTTCCACCAAGTCAGACTTGCAGTATGATAACCAAGTAATGGTCAATTAAATAGTCATTCAAAACGTTTAAATCTGAAGAACCCCCTTAGACAGGATGTCATAACATTTCCAGAATCACTTGGTGTATAAGGCAATATTTAAAATACCTATTAATGGTCACTTGGGGGCGACATTTCCCCACTTCCATGTCTTAATCGTTTCTTCATTCATGGCCTTAATTTCCGTCACAATAATGTGAGACGTTTTGGAGATGTCATTCCATCAAGCAGGAATTCATTGACAGCCCTTGATAAGAACACTGAAGTATATAAATGCAATCAAGGTGCTTACCTTTGTGTGTCCGAATCTGTACTCATCATGAGGAACATCAATTGACCCAAGCAGCTTCTCTGAAGCCTTCTTGTTGTCCATGAACTGACCCTCAGGGATGACACTGGCATTCAGTATCTTGTATCTATATAAAAAAGTTTATGTTAAGTGAAAGCATTTTATTTGTAATAATTTTCATTAAAAACATATTTTCAAATAACTATTGATACCTCTGCTTGAAGTCGGCATAGGGGATTCTGCTGGGGAAACCTTTTCTGCAGATTCTAATACCCTCCAGGACACCATTACACCTGAGCTGGTGGATAACCAGGAAGTTCTCCATCAAACCTGAACAAACACATCATGTCTAAGTTGAAGCCATACAAAATGAATTCCGTGCAAACAAAACCTAACCCAGCCATCAAGACTATCAAGGTCTGTTGTATATGTACCTGGAGTCTTTGTCTCATTGGGAATCAGACAGCGCACAAAGTGAGGATGGGTGGCCCTCAAGTTAGTCATCAGCTTGCCCAAGTTATCCTGTAGATCAAAAATGGTAACATATTAGTTTGATTACAAACCGACATATTGTAAGATGAGATTGCAGTGTACCTTACCCTAAACTGTGAAGACACAGTCTGCATAGAACCACCCTTCTTCTTGCCTCCCTTCCCACCCTTCTCTGTTGATGTTTTGTTAGAATATCACACAAATTGCATAAACACAAGTAACAGTTGATATAAATAAATAATAATACAAATATATGGAAATGAGTTTGAGTTAACTGTAGTTAAAATCATACCTTCAACTACTGGAGGATACAACAGACCCAGCAGTTTCACTGAGGATTTCTGGTACAGCAGAATGACAGAGTCATTCAGGGGATCCTTGTTCTTGTCCAGCCAGCCAGTGACGTTGTAGTCCACGGTACCAGCATAGTGCACCATGGCGAAGTGGGCCTCAGCCTTGCCCTTTGCGGGCTTTGGCTTCTCAAATGCTCTGTTTTTGCCAAGATGCTGGTCATACAGCTTGTTCTTGAAGGATGAGTCTGAGGCCTTGGGGAACATGCACTCCTCTTCAAGGATGGAGAAGATGCCCATGGGCTTGAACAAGTTGAAAGAGGTATATCATTTAGTGATACATTAGAACAAATAAAAAAACAGATACATATGATGACAACATGAAGTGTTTACCTTTTCAATCAGCTCAATGCAGGCAGCCAAGTCCATACCAAAGTCAATGAACTCCCAGATAATTCCCTCCTTCTTGTACTCCTCTTGCTCCAGGACGAACATGGTGTGGTTGAAGAACTGTTGCAGTTTCTCATTGGTGAAGTTGATGCACAGCTGTTCCATGCTGTTGTACTGCGTTGGGACAGATAATCAGAATGATCTCTTGCAACAGGCAATAATCATGATTTTGACTTGAAAAGTAGCATTTTCAGAATTTCTTACATCAAAGATTTCAAAGCCAGCAATATCCAGGACTCCAATATAGTACTGCCTGGGTTGTTTGGTGTCCAACATCTGGTTGATACGGACGACCATCCACAAGAACATCCTCTCGTAGATAGACTTGGCCAGGGCAGGCACTGCGTTACTCACCTGAATAAAAACAAGCATATCATTTCATCATGATTGCTAAACAGTTTTTATAAAATGCTAGATAACTGGTATTTCGAGTCATTTGATACATAAATAAACTTCTTAAAAGTAGAGCTAACTTTCATACTGCATCTGGCGTTAAAAACTATAACTATATAATATAAAAACACATCTACTGAACATTTGAATGAAGGGTTACCAGTACATCTCTGTTACCTGAGGTACAGTCTGTCCCTTGGTGACATAATCATTTCCGACCTTCACTCTAGGATAGCACAGAGCCTTCAGCATGTCAGTGGAGTTCAGACCCAGCAAATAAGCAACCTTGTCAGCATCTGAAAATAATTCAGAAATGTCCATCATAATTTGTGAAGAACACAATGTTGTGAAGAAATGTACCAATGTTGTTTCCAAGCTCTAAGCTTTGAGCTAAGATGAAATACTCACTCTCTGTGCCATCAGGCTCAGCCTGCTCCTCACGCTGCTTTTGCTTGAACTTCATGTTACCGTGGTGAAGCACAGCACCGGTCATCTTGTAAATGCTCATCTTCTCTTCATTAGTGAAGCCCAGGATATCAATAGCATTCTGATTTCAAAAGAAGTGCCCACACAAAACATAAACCCTTTTAGAAAATGAACTTGAAAGAGCCGTTTTGATTTTGCATGTCAGCACAAAATAAATGTAAACATCACTTACATCAGTGGCTTCCAGCTCAACTTTGTCATCAATGCTGGCCACAGTGATATGACCCTGACTGCACATGGGGAAGTCGTAGGGGTTGGTTGAAATGAGTGACAATTCTGCAGATTTAACAAAGGGGAAAACATGTCAATAAACATGTTTCATATGTAAAGCTGTAGGATAAAACATATGCAATATTTGAATCTCTTACCAATCAGCTCAGGTATGTGGGCAGTCATCATCTGGTAGAAGATATGGTAGCCTCTCTCATCAGGAAGCTGGAATGTGACTCTAGACTTCTCCAGCAGATCTACAAGTTGTGATCATGTCAGAGCCAGGCTACATCTTACTTACAGTAGTTTGTACTATAAGGATTGTTACTTACAAGTCTCAATATCAGCACTAGCCAGTTTGCCAGATGCGTGGAAATGGATTCTGATGAATTTACCCTGTTTGGAATGACATAATCATTAATGTCCCTCCACATGTGCAATATGTAAAAATCATCCTCTCGTGTGTAGAAACGGTTCCATACTTACAAAACGAGAAGAGTTGTCATTCCTCACAGTTTTGGCGTTACCATAAGCCTCCAGCAGGGGGTTGGCTGCAATAATCTGATCCTCCAGTGAACCCTATAAACCAAGTTTGGAACTGCTATCAGGAAATTACTTTATTTCTTAATCCCTGGACAAATGATAAAAGTAAAGAATCTTGATTTGTAATCATCATAGAGTTGCATACCTTTGATGTGTCTCTCGCCTTGCCTCCACCAACTGAGATGGTTGCAAAGTACTGGATGACACGCTTGGTGTTCACAGTCTTTCCGGCACCAGATTCTCCACTAGGTATAGAGAGACATTATATAACATTTAATCAAGATATTTGCCGTTTTTGAACAAAGTCAACAAATGTAAATGTAGCAAACTTACGTGATCAAGACAGACTGGTTCTCTCTATCTGTTAAATGAAAAATAGAACAATTTAGTGTGTGTAGCTGAAACAGCAACCTTGTTTCTGATCATTTCTACATTGGTGTAGTAATGACTTACCAATAAGCATGAACTGATAAGCGTTGTCAGAGACAGAGAAGATGTGCGGTGGAGCCTCCATACGCTTCTTGCCTCTGTAGGCATTTACAACTTCCATATCGTACACTGGGAGCATCTTGTAGGGGTTCACAGTGGCACAGAACAACCCAGAGTAGGTCTACAAGGGATCATAGATCATTTGAGTCACTTCATGTTTCCCGCATCATTTTTTAATGTCATTAGGCAAATTGTCTTACGTAGATCATCCATGCTGCATAACGCTCTTTGAGGTTATACAGCACAGAGGCTTCATTGAGATGGGTCATCATGACCATGTCCTCAATCTTGTCATACTTGGGAGGGTTCATTGGAAAGATGTCCTCTTCTTTCACTACCCTCTCCTAGAACAAGAAATGTTTTAGAATGAGAACTCATCAAATTGAATTCCTTGTACACACTGATTTAATGATACAAACCTCCTCAGTGGTCAAGACTTTGACAGTGACTTTGCCACCATCTTTCTTGAGGATCGTTCCCTTCAAGAACAGCTCCTTGACATCAGACACATAGCAGGCACTCTTGGCATCAAAAGGTGCGCTTTGAGCCTCAATTCTTTCCCTCTCTGGTTTACGGAGGTAAATGGAAGCCGCGCCATACTGGGCCATCTCCGCGTCTGTACTCATGATTGCGGTCTAGGTCTGGGTAGCAAGTCAAACAACATCGATTTTAGAATCATGTCAGCTCATGCCATTGAACATTGAATACATTGTATGGTGTTGTACTAAACAGTTCATATATCCACATCAGAATAATTTTCATTGCATTGCATCATTACAAGGGACCTTTACTGTAATTCAGGGATGGGCAAATAGCGTCCCGGCAGCCCTCAGATTAATTTATAAACAACGTAATTAATAAAAATAAAAATAAATAAAAATATTATTTTTTTAGGTGTAGTACTGATACTGCCCACTTGTCTCCAAGTTACGTCGCGAGCTGCGTACATGATTTCGTTCGGCAGCCAAATACCGGGAAATAATCTGTGACGCTTTTGTGTTTCCTGGAAACACTCACAAGAAACACCGGTTGTTGTTACGCCTGCTGCTGTGACGTTAAGTTACCGCTTGTAATGATTACATGACATGTCACTTGTTAGACGCTTTTATCCAAAGCGACTTACATACTCAATACTGTGGACAATCCCCACAGGAGCAATTTGGGGTGAAGTGTCTTGCCCAGTGGGGTTTGAACCTGTGACCCCCTGATCCGAACACCAATGCACTACCCACTGCGCCACACACCTCCCAATTATGCCTTTACAAGCTTAAAGGTTGTATTTATCATCTGAATTTAGCGAAACAAGTTTAATATTCTAAAAACAAAGACTTTGTTTATTTGAAATCAGATGAAAACAAACTGTCATGGACTCTGCCGTGTTATCTATGATTACTATACGCTTTTCATTCATAATGTCAGCGGGAGGGAGGGGGGGTGGCGCTGCGGAACAGCAGGGAGTTGACAGGTGTCTGTGTGGACACTCCCCTTATTGTGCGTCAGCAGAGGCTACAAGTGTCTCAGGTTCAAGTTAGACAACTAACGTCTGGGTTAGTGTTCATGACTTCATGTTTATGTCATCTTAATGGTTCATCTCAATGCACACACATTGTCCGTGCTTTCCAATAGTTTAAAATAGTTGTATTCCACTGTTAAATAACCTGTTCAATACAAACATGCCACTTGTAAACATTAAATGAACTGATGTTTGTTTAGTGGCTTATTAGAGGATGCTCCTGAAAGATTGTAAAATGTCAATGAAGATGCCAGACTTAGTATATTTCTTAATAATTACATACAACACATGGAATTTGTGTGTGTGTGTGTGTGTGTGTGTGTGTGCGTGCGTGTGTGTGTGTGTGTGTGTGTGTGTGTGTGTGTGTGTGTGTGTGTGTGTGTGTGTGTGCGTGTGTGTGCTCCAAGTGAATCTGCGGCCCCCTGGTGGCCAGTACATACATGATGTGGCCCCCACCACCATCCAAGTTGCCCATCCCTGCTGTAATTGTATTAAGTTGCTCAACTCTGCACACCAAATGTCTATTGCATGTGTGTCACGTGAGGTCCCTCCTCTGTTTCTATTCCTGAGGTATATTCCCTTTCCCCCCATTAAAGAGGTCCAACTGGCGTACAGATTGTAAAGACTATTCAAGCTCATTTTTTATATTTGGCTGTATAAATAAAATGAAGTTGACTGATTGAAGTAAAAAATGAACACTAGCTTTTGCATTTTAAAACCTGAGATCACTGATGTAAAACAAACACTTGAAAAAAGAAAATGAATGGTAAAAGTTGTACATACCTTACTCTTCCCACTTGTGAAAAAATGTCGTATTCCACAAACCTAATGAAAAAGAAAATAATTAGTCAGTGCAGGAAATAAAAAGAAATATTATTATTATTAATAATGATTCATTTGAAAGTTAAGTGAAAAGTATATATTACAGTTTGTGTCAGAGGAAAGCAACGATTGCTTTGAATATCAATAAATACATTATTATGACATTTTTAACAGATTTCTTAAATTACAAAGCATAAGACAAGACCCCCTCACCACAAGCAGGCACTCCACTGGTCATCCACCACACACCTCAAGCAGTCCGTGGACCCCTTATATTCAGTCTGGCTTGCTTACATTGCAGAAGTTCAACAGACTGATGTGCCAAATATGGTAAGGATGACAGATGGGTCATGAGGTATTTAAAATATTTGCTGATACTACATTTGGGAGAATCCCTACCTTATGTGATGAGTTACTAAGGTAGATAACAGTGGACATTATTTTCTAATTCTTTTGTAATTGTGCTTGTTTGGTAATTTGTGCCTTTAAATATTAGTAGTGGCGGTTCATTGTGGGGAGCTTTGAAATCGCTTCTTAAAACCCACCCTTCTACTTAGCGTGTTAACATCTGTTGCTTTGAGTGTTGCTTTTATTGCTTTTAAATTGTCTATTGTTTTTACTTGTACTTGTTTTATGGTGTGTGAGCTGTGTTGTGTGATTTTTTGTATTTTTTGTTTTGTTTATTTGACTGTACAGCACTTTGGTCTTGGGGTTTAAAGTGCTTTATAAATAAAGCTGTATTGTATGTATCTGAGCCACTTTTGTTAGGGACCCACTGTCATACTCCATCAGGTCATTTGAGTAGTTCCCAAAGAAATGTGTGTGGAGGTGAAAGAAGTGGGCATGTCATCAATGAGTGGGAGGTTAGAAGGCTCGCCGTGGATAGGTTGACTGTCTATTGATAAATTGAAAAGAATAATCCAACCAAAATGGAATAATTTAAGCAGTAGGAAACATACTGTAAGCACTTTTTTCTTTCTTTTTTTCGCCATGACACTGCTTTGAGATGTGCCTTGGATGTCAAGAAATGTATTTAATCAGTGTTTCTAACATCTACCGAATCTATCAAGCGAGGGAAAGCACTAATAAAGTAAAATAGTAAGGTCACATCAGGGAAAATGCATCACATAGACATTTTGTCTGATAAAATCACATTTCTGCTGACTATTCTGAGAATTTTAAAACATTGTCAAATAGTAAATGTGTGAATATAAAATATGATGTGATTTGCTCTACCTAGCAGGGCAGTGAGAAATCAGCAGATTGATGGCTCTCAGTAAAGCCCTCCCACTCCATAGTCGTGCTGTGTCAACAGTGTCTCATTACACCAGCTCAATGCAATTAGATAGGTGTTGGTGTACTGAGAAGGAAGAGAGAAGATGGGAGGTCAAATGTTGGGTGTTGTGTTGAGGCACAAGACAGTTGTTGAAGCCTATGTAAAAAGCTTGTATGCTGAGTTACCAAAGTTGGATTGTATGGTGTGAAAACGCTTTGACCACTCATGGTATAATCTCTTTGTGTCTTCAAATATGAGAATAAAAGGGTCTGCAGCTCAACAAGGGTTGAGAGCCTTATAGCATATAGAATAGACTTGTCTTTAGTCAGGCTCCCCAACATCACTCACTAATTTGAGACTCGAGAAACAATTTATTTCAAGAAGCAAATCAGATCACAGCCAAGCAAATATGTGTTAATGTGGCGGATTAAATCCAAGCTGCATATAGCACAATTTGAGACATACTGTACAGCTCAAGAGTCCCCACCACTTACTGTAGTGGATCCTGATTGGACTGGGATTCTTCAACTAAGCAGCATAAGGCACATGGCAGACTGCCAACCGAAGCTTGAACATGTGCCTTTTACTCTGTTTCGCAGGATGTAACTCACACCCATCTCCCACTCACTCACTGGCCTTTCAGCCAGACTTTCTAGATGTTACATGAGTCATCACGTTATTTAAACTGTCTTTTATAACTTGTTGCTCTACTAGTTTTACCCTTCTTTCAACCTTTTTGTTATTTTTTTTACATTTATTTGGCTTCTTTGTGCCAAATTGATTTTATTTTTTTAAATGCTGCATAAATAAATTAAATATTATTTGGCTAACCCCTACTAACCTCTAAGAATCCTGGAAGCCTTTCTCACACAGACTTGGAGTAATGGTAACGGGATTATCCTCTTAAGCCCCAAGCCTGTTTTTCAGGTCTCAGGCTCGAAAATGACATTCCCAGAACAAATGACCATATCTTCCCTTCTAAAAGGGTTAAATTAATAATCTTTTTTTTCAAAGTAATGATAAACCTGTGAGTTGGATGTAGAAAAGTCAGAATCAATATAGATGTTTTTTATTTTAAAGAAAATTCAGATTGAACATGGTAAAAAACTGTAAATTATAGTGTCCGTCCAAAATATATTTTGTACTTATAGTGAAAACTAACCTTGGATGATGGGTTAGTAGACTACAAGCTTTAGGAATCCAAAGTACAACATATAATAAGTACCCTGTATCAAGATTGATGCAAAACAAGTGATATTTGACCTTTTTAGACAGATTTAGCACAAAAAACCTCTTCTGGGGTCATTTGGGTGGATTTTCCATATCTCTGGCCCCCCTTCTTCGATTGTGACATGTGACATCTCTCTCTGACCGTTAGAGCCAATAAAATCGAAGGGAATTCGTCCCGCACACACTCATGTTAAAAAAAAGGTTTCGTATTTGGGCATTCAATCTTTCTACAGAGCGTAGGAATGGCCTGCTCTGATATTTGAAAACGGAATAGTCTGTTTTTTCTCATAACAGAGGACACATTTTTGATACAGAACATTCTGGTTTATTCCTACTAAGGTTTTTATTTTGTCTTTCATAATAATCTTTAAAAAAAACGTATTCATATATATATATATATATACATATATAGAACACGTAAAATATAAGACAAGCAAAAGTTTCTGGTATGGGCCATATTCAATCATACTTTTAGCAATTGCTGCGGGCCAATTAGCAGTGAGCCGTAGTTTGGACACCCCTGCCGTAGGGGAAGTGTGGGAATGGCAGCTTTGCCAACGTTTTTGGTACTTTCATGTAATCTTTTCCCATTTATCATTGAAATAACTTATCAGCGATGTAGTTAAATAAACACACATGCTTTCTAACCATCCACTGTTTCTGGCTTTCGTGAATTCACAATGACTGTGTCTGCGCAGCTCGAACTCAACAACAAAACCAAAACAAAAGCCTTTCCTTTGGTTTCGTTTTCAAATAAATGTCCTGGCTGCAGAAAGGTGCAGTCTACGATCACAGCGGTT